ATTCGACGTCTCAACTAAGCGACAGTTTTAAAGTACCCCCGCCCTCCCTAACTCAATTCTGATGCGACTCAAACTCACCGTTAGCTATCTTTATGTAAATTCCATTGCCAATATTGTTTTGCGGTCGTTGAAACGAAGTACCATACTGTGTAGTATGGAAGTGATGTTTTTGTGATCGAAAATATATTTTGTCTTGAGTGGAGGAGTAAAGAATTTCATCTCATCGGTGTCGTGACGGTTTTGTTAATGTCCCTACGAGATCCGCGTGTAAGTTGATTTGTTGGGATCCGTATACATCCTTTCAATATGCTCGCATGTGTTTATGTAATTTCGTATTTTGCATCTTCATTCCCTATTGGATGTCTCATTTGAATGAATTATACCAAGTGATACTCTCGTAAGGTTCATATTGATTTTTATTGATATAAAGCACTTTCCGCTTCGCACAGGCGGACATTTATTTTTAAGTATTTTAAAACTAAATTTAAATATGAGAAAAAAGTGTTGAAATCGAACAAATAGTTTTTGTTATTTCGATACATACAACACAACATTTTTAACAATATTTTAGTAGTTATAGATAGTTAGTTTATACAGTTTATATTAATATTTTCGACGCATTCCTAAAAGCCTTTTCTTTCTTATAAAAGATACAAGAACTTAACAAGTTGCTTAAAATTTCCTTCAAAAATTTTACTTTAAAATTAAAAAGAAAAACAAACAGTATATTCAACGAAATTAAAATAGCATACGTTGCAGAAATGTTTAAGTTTTGAGCAGTTCGCAAGTGCGGCGGCGCACACAACCTCACGTAGCTTAGCTTTTAGCGCGTTCATACAAAAGACTGCAGACGTTTCAACGTTGCCATCTCCATTTGCTTTCCTTAAACCTAACTGTACACTAAGTACACCAAACTTCACTTCTACCCACTCAAAAATAGAGTGCAAATTCGTTTAGCACACACATTTAAGACTTAGTGAACCTCTGCTAAGAGGAAACGGATGTTATTTTGAGTGGAATAAGAATTTCTATCCATAATCGTATATTGCAACGTTTTGAATTGAGATCTACTTTGCTGTAGGATAATAGACTTAGAGATGTTGGAATACAGTAAGTTTTTGAGTGTTCATTTATTAAAGCAGGTGCTGCAGAGGTGGCGGCGACACGAGACAATTTGAATAAATTCGATGTCGCCGGTGGCCGCGGAAGGGTGGGATGATATCGGAAAGTGATACCCGCCATGATGCGATCAAATTGGCCTCGACTTGCGGATTATCAAGCCTTCTACTCGAATCGACTTTTATTGTCACGCCGGTAAAAGAAAATGATATTTTTAAAGCAATGATACTTCTAAACATTTGACACTCTGCTTCCCTTTTTCTTTATTTACTTTTTTCTCTTTCTGCTGATCGGAAATTATTTAGAAGATTATTTCTTTGCTCAGTTTAATTGAAATAATTTTCTAATGCTAGGTTATAAAAGTTTCCATTTATTTTATCATTACGTTAAGTTGACCTAAGTTTAAAAGGAGTTAAACTCAAGTTACGTAGTTCCGAAACGCATTTTTGTAGTTATCGAACCAAAAACCCTGACGAATACATAAATGTAGCTGTGAAAATCGCCATAAAAGTAATTCGTTATAGAGTCATCAGTAAATTGTTAAAAAAATAAAATTTAAAACCATAGTATTAATCTAAAGAATTTTGTAAAAGAGCTAAGTAAAATGAAATCCCTCAGTCTATAAAAAACAGGTTCCACCGAGATTTGAACTCGGATCGCTGGATTCAAAGTCCAGAGTGCTAACCATTACACCATGGAACCGCACATTCACGGCGTTGAATTTGACGGATGTCATTAACTTTGGCTAGAGGCTGTGTCGTAGGATCTTGTTTTGGTATGAAAGGTCAAGGCGAGAAACAAACTGGTTCTTTTAACTTTCACATTAGTGATGTTACAAAAATGATGATTACCGTTAGAACATTGGTTTTGATAATAAAACAATTTGTCGGTTTTTAGAATTTTGTCCCTTTAGTTTCATAAAGTTAGTTAGATAATCCATAGTAAAGATGTAGAGAGGCAAAAATTTAACACAAATAGCAAATTATCTAATAGAACATTTTTGTTTGATGTGACGTTAGAAAAAAATTCTTTGAGTTTCCGCACTGGGTACGTAATGATAAAATAAATCCACACAGGGCCGGACTCGGGTCCGAAATCTTCGTGCAATCTCGCGGGGGCGCAATCATCGCGGCCGCGCGCCATCAATTATTCACAATACTGATTGCGTCCGAGACGCACGTGGATGTTGCTGAATTATATATACGAGGCCATTCTGACCGTCCAGGGTCGGACTTGGGGTACTGTTGTGTTGAAGATCGTTTGGTATCAAATGGTTTTTCTCTGAGTTTATCAGTTCTTAGACCAACCAGTACTGTTAACATAAAACACAGTATTACTCTAGACTCGATAAAAGACCTACATCGACAAAAAAGTCGTCCTACTTTATAATTACTTTCGTACTTATTTTTCTTAAAAATAATCTTAAACTGATCTATGAAAGGTTCCACCGAGATTTGAACTCGGATCGCTGGATTCAAAGTCCAGAGTGCTAACCATTACACCATGGAACCAGTGAGAATAGTAACGAAAGTAGTATTTAAATTTCGAAAGAAACATTACTATTGCCATAAAATGTTTGAAATTCACAGTAACGGCGTACTTTCTAAAAAACAGAGGCTCAATCTTAATCCGTCCCTGTGTTATACAATAGCCGGAGCCGGGGCAGTGCGTGCTAACAGGCGTTTAGCGTCCGCCGCCGCCCCTGGAGACCGCACAGCACTAAATCCAAATGTTTTTTGTCCTGCCTCGCCAGGCTTACGCCCAGTAATCAAATAGTACCAGCTTATGCCTGTATATTTCTTTAGAATCTACACGCAGGCAAAGAATAACTACACTGGAAAATGCAAAAAAAAAATATTTTATTGCTAAATTTAGTAATTTAAAGAAAAATTAATTATTTTGAACGCTTCACATAGACTTGATCAGTTTGATTTCTTTCATTCTTATATCGATATTAACGATTGATCTAATATAAGCCGGATTGTTTAAAGTTTCGTTTGGATATTCTTAGATATACGAGTATATCATGTGAATTATTGCCTCTTACTTTTTTTATAGAAGAGGCTTAAACTAGGGTACACCGAGATGATTAACAACGCCCATAGACATCGGCAATACTAGAGGAATCAGGGTTGCCAGCCTTTGAGAAAACAATACGTTCTCTTAAACCATAAGTGTTACTGTTATGGAAATACAGAATGTAGGTTTATCTAGTTAAAAATATTAAACTATAAACAGTGTTGGTCGATAACGTCCATTAGTTTAATGAGCAATCGATCACGTGTGCACACAGTCGGGGCACTCATCAATGATTAGCAAACAATTTCTAGCCTCACTATGAGTACACATTTTACTTTTTTGCGGTCAATCGTTAGTTCAATATGATTGATTAGTTTGATTGTGGAAGCAGAAATTATAGTCCTGATATCATTTTGATTAGTAAAATTGTACAAAATAAACATCAATGATTGTTAAAAAATAATTTTACATTATTTCCAAACATAATAAGCGTTTTCCCTTTGAAATTGTATGTTTTTTTCGATTTCCTAATTTCATTCATGATGTTGATTTGCTTGAAATGAAAGTACATATAGTAATTTGTTTATTTTTTTATTTTTTTTGTCTCTACATTTTGAACGCATTAATAACTTTATTTTTATTGTAGTACACTTATCATTGATATGCTCCAATTTGTGTCAAATTCAGTAATTTATTGGTTATTAGTGGATCTCTTAACTTGTAATTTGACCCTAAAAGGCATTTTAATCGAGTGATAATGTCTTAATGCGACGTAACTTGAGAACTTAGCTGCTTGAATTAAGTCAACGTCTTTGAGCCAGATAGTCTCCTGCATCATCATATTTAATACTAATATTATAAATGCGAAAGTTTAGATGGATGGTTGTTTTTGTTAGAGTTTGTAGCCTAAACTGCTGAACGGATCCTGATAAAATTTGGAATAGACGTAGAGCATAGTCCGGCAGAACACATAGGCTACTCACTATTGTTTTTTTAATTGCACGTGAACGGAGTTGCGGACAAATGCTTTCTGGCTTTCGACCGCGACTCCGTTTTAAAATTTATTGGTCTGTATAGCATTTGTGATACATTCCCGTGATAACAATAACCATGAATTGTCAAAAATCAGATAAGTCACAGTACATTTTAACTAAAATGTTTGTGACATACAGTCTAAGTTTTATTACTTTACTCTCTCAAATATGTTTTAGTAAGAGTAACACGAGAGTGGAATTGAACTGTGATATTAGAGCCATTTTTCATATGTTTTAAAATATTTTTAAGGGTTTAAAAAATAAAATATAAAATTAATTAATACATTGTCATTTATTGAAGTGAAAGTTGCCTAATCGTAATATAATATTTAATAATAGATAATAATGACATAAAGATTGCACATTCGTCTTTGGATTCGTTCTTATTACATTATTTTCTATACAATATTTACATTGAGTATAACATTTTTTTACTATTATTTTAAAAATCTCGAGACGATAAAATGTCTAAAATACACCAATATTTTACATACTTATTAATAGATAAATTTCTAAACAATTCAATTATTACACTATTTAAACAATATTTCATTAGGAAAACTTATAATACGTCTATATTTAAAATGTTTTGGTATACATTTTATAAAGGAAATTACGACTAACTTGTATACATCAATTTTATGGCGTTAAAATTTAATTATATTTATGGCACTATATTTGTAACAACAAAATAACTTTTTACTAAAACTAAAGATGTTATTTTTAATCTACATTTCATTACATTAAAGAAAGGACATCAATTGACTTCAACTACGTAATAAATATTGTATTCAAATAACTTTTTTTACGAATATATTAAAGGAACAAACGTCTACATATTATTGCCAATACAATTACACGAACTATGATATGAAGTATGCATTTATGTTGTTTTAACAACATTTTTGGTATTACATTTTAAAACTCTTAACTCATCCTAAATGTCATTTCATAGGAATGCTAAAAAATGGAACAAGTATACATTTTTGGAATGATAAGCATGTTTTTATAACTTGCATTTTGTTTAGATTTACAAACTAATGGAGTGCAAAATATACATACGTATGTACTAAGACATTTTACAATTAACAAAGTCTGTAAACGAAAACAGTTTTTAGGTTAGAATTATTTTTTTTTTCGAAAACTATGGATGTTCTTTTGGTAACATAGATTATCAATACAATACTAATGTAATGAATTTAAAAGCTGTTTGTATGAAATAGCTTGGTAACCAAAATATCTATTTAATTTTACAAATGTCATGTTAGTACAAACACCGAATATTTAAACCAAACTTAAGAATAAACAAGACAGCCTGTACTTTCACGATGAGATCACAAAATGAAGCCTTTTATATAATGCTTACAAAGTATTTTTTATTTCACATACCTCTTAGGTTTACATGACTATATCTAGGATCATATGTCGCAATAGCGCTTTGGAAATTAAACTTTACAGCTATAGAAACAAGGTATTATTTCTACTTTCTAATGGTTTTGCTAAGGATCCATTATCTAATCTGTCTAATAGATTTGCATATAACATCGAAACTATATTAAAAACATGTGTGTAATGTCAATAACTCCAAAAAAATAATTGGCAATAGTTTACAATACATGTTATAGGCGCATCATAAATCCAGATAGATTGAACATTCACAATAAAATCACATTGATACCTCGAAAGAATCTTTGGTGCAAACCTAGGTACAAGCGCCCACTGAAAATTGAACTCTAAGACTTAAGTGGTAAGTGTGGGATTGCCTCAACGCCAGTCGGGTGGCGCGAAGGCTGTCGAGGTTCAGGAGGGCAACGCCTGCAGGGGTTGCACAGCGCTGCTCAGGTGGCTGCGGAAGTCGGGATGCGGGGGGCGCAGCTCGGGGTGCGGGGGACGAAGGTCTATGGAAAAAATATCAGTTACAAGAAGTAAAAGCATACATGTGATTTAAACCACTACCGTGTAAATAATTGATATGAGATGATGAAAAAATTATGTGGTGATTATTTTAAAGTTACTTAATTTACGAGAACTTCAAGCATTTAAAGAAATGTCCGTTTTAACTTACCTATTCGATGATCGACCGCATGCATATCTTGTGCGTGCATACCATGCACGTCAGTGTGGGGTAGATGTTGCGGGGCTCTGAGGTCCGCGTGCTGGGTCTCTCGGTGTCGTCGCAAGTCAACTTTGCGTTGGAAGGCGCGCCCGCATAGCTCGCACGCAAACGGCTTAAACCCGGTGTGCTTGCGGGAGTGTGTGATCAGATTGGAGCTTTGACTGAACGCTTTGCCGCACACCTGGCATTTGTGAGGCTTCTCACCTGTGGACAAAGGATTTTTTTGATTATTTATGCTCTAAAAGCAAAGCCCTATAGATAAAAATGTTTATCTTTTTGACTATAGCGCCATCTATTAACGAAAAAAACTTAATATGATTTTTAATATAATAAAACATGTTTAATTTTATCTACTTAAAGCGTCCTACACTTTTAATTGTTGTTTGTTTTTTTTTTATTTTTTTTTATTGGAATAATTGTTATATTTTAGAAAACTGTAACAGAGAGAATCGAGGACTTGACATATTGCGGCAGGTTGGTCGGCAAGTAATCCGTGCCAAAGTCCTCCGGTATCGACCCGCTCGAACGACGTGAGGAGACGTCGCTAGCTAGGGTTGCCACTTCTTACAAATAATTTATTTTTAGTCTCAAAGAAAATTGTAGTTATTTTGTTTGATGGCATTGTTATATTTAAGTTTATTCACTTTGTAAGCACTGCTATTTTTATGAAGTGATGCAATTTACTAACTATTTGAGGTTTTTGAATAGTAGAGTAATGATTTAGTGTTTTATTTTGGATGCGACAACCTTATTGAGATAACGTTCCACGTGCCTATATTAATGCAGGTGTGCGTAATCTGTGCGGAGTCCGGCCCGCATTAGGGATGCGGCCCGCAGCGCGCCGCCGCTGGACTTACAAAAATTTATAGCCTCAGCTATATACGCTATTAACCGTTTATGTATCGTGATTCGAGCGCGAGAGGAATTTAATATCCACTCACTTCATTGTCGGCCTCTTTTGTTGGCCGTCAGCGCCTTCTCGAGTTTTCATTATTTTCTAACAATGCGTAAAGTTAATAAATATTTATTTCATAACTTAAATACAAGACAGATAGAGAAGTTGGAAGGAAAGTAAACTTTGTACGATTTATTTCGTGTGAGCGTAAATTAGGCAGTCAAAGGCAACAAATCATTTTATGTCTCTTGCTATTATGTATTTCATAGACGGTTACATAAAAGTTTGCATTTTGTGGTCTAAAAGATGTTTAAAAAATTCCAAGTTGAACTTTGATGATTTAATTCGCAGTTATGGGTGTTGTTATGAGGGTGTGGCATTTATGATTTTTGCAATTTAGTCCAATGCCAGCTTTAAGTACCAGGCGAGCATAAATTGCAATGAGTCATTTGTCCGCTCTCGTTGTAGGCAATAGGCATTGCGTGACACGCTTGCAACAGGAAAACGCATCGAGCGACCAATACAACGCCCGGTAGGTAATTACCTACACAAATCACGGCAGCGCATTGATACCTAACACTTGGGTACTGTATTTCGAAAAAGGGCCTTCGAGTCCGTCAATCAAGGGGTCCGGCGACTTCATTAGAGGGAAGGGGAGAGGTGGCGCGATCTATGTGTCCTCTCGCTCCCGCATCGGTGTCGCGACTCGAGAGCAATTTATATCCGTCGTGCCATTGGGCCGTGATTGCGGCGGCTCCTCCCCGCGTCGCATAGCAACCGGAAAAGGGGGGCGCCCCCACTCCCACCCCCCGGGGTAGTCGGGTTATGGATCGCAATTTTCCTTTGAATTGGAAATCAGAGCGGCGGCCGCGCGGCTCGTTAGCCGACCTCGGATACAGATTTCGTGGCAAGATGCTCGCAACTCGCAGCCGCGAATTGGAATCTGCTATTTCGCGTTTTCTTATTGCGCAATAAAAAGAAATATTCCTTCAGTTAGAAAATCTCTCTCACTTTAAATAAATATGATTACGAAGCGGTTTGTAAATTCAATACCGGTTTTCGTCTAATAGAGCCAGTGAAAAGTAAATAAATGTTTTTATACATGATCATAATGAAAACACACATACCTTTTATTATACTTCCAATATCTAACAAATTCTCTTAAAGCAAATATTTATGCTAAAACTTAGTCATAGAATTCATATGTTAAATTACATGTTGTAATTACAACTATTTGCGGTAACATGAAACGTGGAACACCCTGTATTCAAATTACTCGTCTTACACGTATTACTTGGAAGTTATTACCAAGTTTACGCAAAGTCCACAGTCGGAGTGCGTAAAATCTACGCCGCGCGTCTCTTTAACAGCGTAATTACGGCGCGATATTACGGTGGGGTGAGAGTGTGAGGTAGGAGGGATGGGAGGGCGTTAATTGTTTCAAGGGTCCCTCTGAGAGCTTCACCAGTGAATTTGACGACGTTATTGATTGTGCCGTAGTGAGTTTGATTTATTTGACGTGTCTGAAAATTGAAGACTTTTCTACTGAGTCTTAGCTGGGTTTATAGAATGAAAGGATATTTATCAAGTCGTTTTATAATCAACCTTTAAGGGCGATATTTTGTTAATATAACCGTAAAGTTGTGAAGTTCTTGGCTAGTTTTAGATGTTTTCTAGAATGGCAGGTTTATGTTTTTTTCACTCTCTTCTTCTTTAGTTCTTTCTTGTCCTTATTTCTTAGGCTTAAGCAAGTTGTCCGCACGACCGCACCTTATATATAAACTCTTTGAAAGATATTTTGCGTAGAAACCAGACGTCTTTATCTCTGATCTGCGGCGCGCACTCTGCGGGTTATGGGCTTGTAAAGCGCGGCATGTCTATTACGACCACGAAATCGTTCACTGATTTTTACAATGTCTGTTACCATCTCAACTTAATACCGTCTTAACTAAAGACTGTAGAGGTTTCTTTTATAAATATTTTTTTCGTAATCTGTAAATTAATACATCAAATATTTAATTTAGTATCTATGAAACTATGAATAATTACAGAAGAGAGCCTTTAAACTTTCACACTTACATGTATTAAAGTGTGAATATTAACAAATACACTGTACTTTTGTTTAATTAGATTGTAATCCGAACTATGATTTCCGTAAATCTACGACTAGCTAATAATATTAACTTAAAAGCAAAAAAATATTTTATGAATGATATTAAAGCTGTGCGTAACATAAGAGAGCTTAAAGCTCGAACGTGAAATATAGTAAAGCGTTAAGAATTAAGTTTGCCGGTTGTGATTGAACGCGCGCCGGCGAACGATAACCGTAAATCCCAGGTTTACGGAATACGAGTTTTCTGAAACCAGTTGCCAGGTCCGGCATGCGTTATTTATTTTTTTAAGTCCATATTCAAACGATATTTTTTGTAATAAATGTGTATTGTTTATTTCTATTGTTTAATTTCTTTTCTTGTTTATTTTTAAAATACTATTCGTCTCTTGAAACGAAAAAAAAACTTTGCAGTCTTTTGACAAATTAATTAATCACCGGGCGGTCCCAAATATTCTTTGTAGAATTTAATTATTAGATTATATTCAATATCAGAGCAATCTGTTGAAAACAGACGCCACACTGGATCGTCTAAGAAATCATTACCGCCCATTATCGGGGCACTAAACGCGAGATTCGCAGTAAAACAGACATTAATACAATTAAATTACCGCCCGCCTAAATCCGTCCCTGTGCCCTGATGTCTGTGCAATATCACAGCGAAGGATTTTTATGGAGACGTATACTTTAGGCGCTTGTGAATTAAATATACGAGGCGGTAGACTTAAAGTGCTTCCGTCGCTGTAAGGATTTTCAGAAATATGATATCGGCCGTTTTAAGAGCGGATTTACCTTCTAATGGCGGTAAAAGGCTTTAATACCGCTTTTAGCGGAGTAAAGCTAAATTAATTTGTTATGTATATGAAGGTAGTTTTTAATCAGCTTTCTTTTGTTTTTTTGAGCTTGTATCTTTGACCAGATCATTTAGCAACAGAGATGTCAGAAATAGATTAAATTTGAGTTGTCCAATACTTTCGTTATAGGTTTTATTGTTTTAATGAAATGATGGGTATATAATATTAACTGTTTAGTACTCAACGAAAGATTTTGTTAAGTAAAATAAAATGATAAATAGTAAGAAAATCCATAGATTATAAGATGCAATGGATTTCTAACGCCCCATTCTGTAACGTCGTTTTTTATAAGTCTGTGAATTATTAATTTCGCGTGGGTAGTCGCTTAAATTATTGTTATAGCTTTCTTACTAGCGGAGGGAAAGATACTTGATTTTTAGGTTATTCTTACATAAAATCGTATAAACATTTTATATATATCTGCTTAGTTTAGTATTAAAAATAATAATTTATATATAGTAAAATTATTTTTGAAGGCCAAAATATAGTGTGGTGGTATAATTTTGTTTGTTTACTACTCGACTTGCACTTTAGAGAAAGCCCAGGTGTTACTAAAATGCATCGCTACGGCCACTAAAAGTAGAGTCGACTGCTAAGTTTCGGCTCCCTAACATAGCTAACTCTACCCATAGTTAATGACAATAAACCTTTAAAAGTGTTTTAAGTTATAAATATTTCGGTTTTAAAATATTTTATACTAACTGTTCCCATGCGACTTCATCGGCATAAATTTGTCACATTTGTCAAATTATTAATTGCAAATGTCAAAATGACATGATGTCAAACCATGGCGACCTTGTTTCCTTGATGTTGGCAACAACTTATGGTCTCTTTCCCACATTAGGGTTTTTATCCAAAACCTTTACCCCTAAGTTTAACGGCGTGAAAATATATAGCCTAAAGCGTGACGTAAATATAGGGCTTTTTATTAAAAAAAGGAGATATTCGAAAATATGCTGTGATTGCTGCCATCTTAGGCAACAAAGAAGTGTGTGTTTACGCTTTATTATAATAGTACAGATGAAAACATAGTGATACGTAGGTAGGTTAGACTATGAAAAATGTGAAAAAAAATCTTAATAAATAAATTCGAAAGTTTAAATCGATGGAAGTTTGTTAGAAGAAATCTCCAGAACGGCTCAATTGATTAGGATGAAATTTGGCAAAGACATAGACCATAGTCTAGAATAACATATAGGCTACTTAATTTTTTTTAATTACCGCCCTGAAAGTGTTGCGGGCGGTTGCAAAAGAAAGAATTTAAATACTAAAGACATTTATTTTAACTGGCAGAATGGTAACGACTTTTGTCTTTTTTAGATTGATGTTGTTTTGTTTCAAAAGA